ATTTTATCCCTAATGTTTATGACAAATCTATGCAACAGAAGTTGTTATTGTTATGTTTAAAAGTAGGAAATTGTGGATTCCATAGTCTGAATATGGTGTCCAGGCTGCCTGGTGGTGGATGGGATTTGAATTCAGGACTTTCATCTGCCAAAGCTCTTTGCGCTGAGTCAGACTGTGGGGCAGATCAGCCAAATAGCTCTGATGAAATCTCCTCCCACTGAAACCCTACAGGATCTCCCACTTCACTTTGAGGTAAAGGTCCAATTATTCAACCTACAATTAGGTCCCTGTCCAAAGTGGTCTCAATCTCACACCTGAGCCTTCTTTCTCGCCTCTTCTTAGTATTCACAAGCTGTCCTCTGCGGCTGAGACCAGGTAGGCAGCCAGCCGAAGGGGCAGAAGAAATTAATAGACAGAACACAGTCTATATTATTCAATGGGACAGGGTTCCATCAGACTCAAGGACTGAGGTGAGGTCCCGTGGATCACCACATATTTATTTCTGGGTAAAGAATCTTAAGCATATACAATAGCAGGAACTCATGCCTGCAGGGACACGCAAGCCAAAGTCCACAGGTTCTATTCCTCACGCCCTGAAGCACACTAGTCTATCCCAGGTCACTGCCTTGGGGAGTATCTTAAGAACAATCAGCATGGTATGCAGACAGCGTCCAGTTCCTGCAAGGGCCCGGTGTTCCTAAGCCCCTTGCCTTCATGCTCGGTAAGATATTCCCTTCCAGCCTTTGATTCCAAGGCACAAACAATCTGGTATCAGATCACATATCTCCTAGTTACCCATTTGGAATTTATTTTTCCTAGGTTTAAAGCCTAGGAAGAATGCTGCTATGATCTCCTGCAGCAGTCCTCCAGCCTGGGTTCCCAAAGCCGGCAGCCACAACACTCATCTGGGAGCTTTGTGAACATTCCTGGTTGTGAAATTGCGCCATAGTTTTACAAGATGTTCCCATCGGGGGAAATTGGTCGAAAGGGACATGAGAACTCTCTGCATTAGTAATTACAGCTTGATGAGAATCTCCAGTTATCTCAAAACAAAACTTTAATCAAAACCAAATCTCCAATTGAGCCTGATGTGCTTCTAGTGTTGTAAAGTGCTAAGGGTTTAGGTACGTGACTAGTCACCGTTCCCAAAACTCATTCTTCTCTTTGCTGTTTTGATTCTCCTTTCCTTCCTATTCGCTAGCTGAGGAAGATTTCATGTCTCATCTCTAAGGGTTTCGGAGCACTGATCTTCCCTCCTCCCTTCCCCATACTTCTGGGTACATCAGACCAAACTGACCCAAATCTCCTCCAGAGGGAATATCTACTGAGAAATCCTCATGAGGCCTCTCTCACGAGTTCCTTTACAGACTCCAGGAAGAACACAGAATACCTCAGTGTCTTCTCTGCTGAGATCCAACTCCCTCACCCCCAGAGAGGTCTTCACCAACAGATCAATAAAGGAAGCGCGTCAGCTGGGTGGCAGTGGTTGGGAAGAAGAGGTGAACAAGCTCAGCACGGTCTGTGGAGGTGTCGGCCTCGCTCCCCACGGCCTTCTCTGTTTCAGGTAGGTCCAGCGGGGACCCTATGGAGGGAGCCCTGGTGAAGAGCATTGCTGTGAGGACAGCTGCAACTGATCCTTCCTGAAAGAACTGTTTGTATTTTCTGAGGAAAAACTGAGATTCCGAAGCGCATGTTTCCTTAAATGCAGCCAGGCTCCCTGTGGGCTGAGCCAAAGGCTTGGGAGAGCACACAGCTCCTTCTCCAGCGTGCACGGAGGACTTGGCCTAGTGTTTCTCTCGAGTCTCTATGAGGGCTTCTGTTCACATGCATGTCTTGTTGATTCTGAGAGCTGGAGGAAGAAAAAAGGGGATAGTCCCCTATAATTAGGAATCTAGGGGAGTAGAGTGGTTCCTTCACCCAGAAGAAACTTTCATCAGGAAATGGGCAATTTGTCCCTGTGCCATGTGTGGCATACAGTCCTATTCGTTTTTTCTACAGACTTGACAAAATGTCTTTCTTCTCATCATGGATGAAAGCTATTTTCGTTATTGCCTTGCTATTTCCTCTTCACTCTGGTGAGTAAATGTTTCAGGCCTGGATGAAGCATTTCACATACCTTAGAAAATGCAGGAAACAACTGCTATGGTCTAGGAATGGAGGAGCTTGTTTTATAGGCTTTTTAATACTTAAACTGGCAAAATGAAACACGTCATGTTTAGAAATATCCTTTTAAAAATTGCGTCAGTGGGGGCTGGCCCCGTGGCCGAGTGGTTGGGTTCGCGCACTCCACTGCAGGTGGCTCAGTGTTTCGTTGGTTCGAGTCCTGGGCGCGGACATGGCACTGCTCATCAAACCACGCTGAGGCAGCATCTCACATGCCACAGCTAGAAGGACCCACAACGAAGAATATACAACTATGTACCGGGGGGCTTTGGGGAGAAAAAGGAAAAAAGAAAATCTTTAAAAAAAAAAAAATTGCATCAGTGGTTTGCTTTTTCTCCTTTCCCACCTTAGAGATGTGGAGACAGAGAGGTGGGTTAGAATAAGGAGTGGGCCTAGCATTTTGTTCACCTACAATGGAAGATATTTGCCTATATTTAGAGATGAAGAGTTTTTGGAGGTCAGATTCCATGACTGCTGAGAGCAAAGTGCGGGCAGTAATGATGTCTTCTCCATCTGGGGTTCTTTGACAATCTGCTTTGTTGTTTGACAGCTCTGAGTAGAGTCAAGGCTTTGTGTGAGGAGAGAACCCATCCCTCTCTCTGCTGACAAATTACCTTCTTTAAAGCATAAGGTGGCCCTTGAATTTCAGAGTAAAGCAGCTGTAAGGTATTAGATAGATCCCTGATCTTAGACCTGAGTCCTAATTAATTATGTAGTAATTAATTTTTCATTGTAAATGAGTTTATGCAAGGTATAATAAATGGAATTAACAAGGCATTGTCTTCTCTGGCGTGGATGTCTCATCTATCAAAATAAAAGAAAAAAAGAAGGGTTTCATGATTGCTAAGCAATAAACAAAATTGCTTTTCACAGAATGAGGTTAATTGGGAATTATGTTTCCAGATTTGGAGCTATTTTGTGACCTTACTGTTTTGCTACCGCCCCAAAGGCTCCCTTCATTACTTGCAGGGTCTTGAGCAGGTAATTTGCCTGGTATCTTGCTACTAAAAGATGGGGGAACTCTGCACTAGATACTCTGATACCTTTTCCCTCTTCTTCTTAGTATTAATTTGTCTTTTGTGTTTTGGTTGCAGAATCTGCTTTTTCACCACCAAAAAACATTCTAAGAAGAGTAAGTTACTATTGATTAATTTGGGAATTGAAAAGTAAATCTAGTAATTTTTTTTTACATTCTAACTTTTAATAGCAAATTTTGTCAAACAAAATGTACAAGAGAATGATCCTTCACAAAGTAAAAACAAGAAAAAAAAACTGCTTTGTTATTACACTGAGTTCAAAAAATAGAATCTTGTCACCCTTATAAGGTCATTTGGGGGCCCGCCTGGTGGGAAGTGTTTAAGTTTAAGTGCTCTGCCTCCATGTTCCGGGGTCGGCCAGTTCAGATCCTTGGCGGGGACCTACACATGCCTATCAAACCACCCTGTGGCAGGCATCCCACATATAAAGTAGAGGAGGATGGGCATGGATGTTAGCTCAGGACCAATCTTCCTTACAAAAAAAAATCATTTGACATTATAGACAAGGTAAAAATATCCCATTATTCAAAAATTCCAATACCATGCATATATCTTGTTATATACAAACATTGGATATGCGTAAGGCGGAGTTTAACGTAGAATTGTTTATCCTAGTAAAAAAGAACCTTTTAAAAAATTTTCCACTTAAAAGTACATAACCAAAAATTTTCATACATTCATGAGTGGAATATTACATAGGGGTGAAATAAATGAACTATAGTTCTAAACACCTGAATAGATAAAGGTTACAAAGATGTTTAGAAGCAAGTCATGTAAAAATGCACAGAATACTGTTCATTTATGTAAATTTCCAGCACTACCATCACTAAGCACAAAACATGTATATCTACATGATTAAATGCACTTATACAAACACTCATATATATGAATCAATACATATGCAGTGATGATCTGAAATCAGAGTATCTAGTAGTGAAACTATTGAGAAAGACAGGGGAATTAAAGAAAATTCACTTTTATGGTTTCTTGTGATATGAAATAATGGGAGAAATCTAACCCAGGTGTGAGGAGACGTGGGGGCAGAGTGGCTCAATTATCAAAACACGTTCTATTCTTTGTAGGTTTTTTAAAAATATGATTGAGTTTGTAAAAATGTATCAATACTATTTTACGTCTAAGTGTGTTGTGGGTATCTTGATGTTTACTTTTAAACCTCAATATAGAATATATTTATACATTTTTGATGGATGAAACGTTCTTTAAAAACAAAGAATATTTTATTCACGCAGTTTATTATCTGATAAATTTTATGTTGTCTCCTTATGTTTAGGGACCGGACTGTAACAGGTATAAAGCTCAATTACATGCATGCACCAGAGAATTTAAGCCAGTCTGCGCAACCAATGGCCGAACTTATTCCAATCCGTGCGATTTCTGCAGTTGTAGGGTGTAAGAATGCAGAATTAAATATTGACTCCTCCCATTTAACGAAGAAAACATCAGAAAATGATAGGAACATCCATATTTTGGATAATGTAGACACAGTATTATGGAAAATTACTATCTTTGTAAAAGCCACAGAAACACACTTGTGCCTATCCCTTAAGTTCTCCTTTCTAAAAGCAGTTTTGTATTTGACCTCTCATCATAACTCTATGGGATATTCCACAAATGTATAAACCATTTAACTTAATTTAATTATTATGACTTATGGATGGCACTCTAATGACCAATAAAAGGTAACTCCAAAGTCCAGATGCTAAATAATAACCTCTGTGATATAGGTGCAAGCTACAGGGAGCATGACTGAACAAAAAACCTTGCTGACTACAGAACTCTGAAATCCATGACAATGGGCCCATTCATGCTGGAAGGGACTCCTCTGGTGGTCCACTTGGGCTCCTGAACTCCATGACAGACTCTTAACCTTCCTCAGAGAGCAGGGCATTCTAGGACACTTCCACCTGACCTCCCTTCCTGTATCCTTCACTCTAAAGGAGTCTGCAGTCTACAGTTTTGGCCAACCTTTGTGCCAGCCCATCTTCTCTCACAGGTGTTTCCTCTCATTTAATCCTCTACTTGGCTTCTACTTCTAGAGGACCTCTAAGACAAGTTCTGGTCCTAAGCTGTCTCAGGTCGGGGGGGATTCCAAGAGTGAATCAGTATTGAGCATGTAGGGAGAGTCATGGAGCACAGATCATGGGAGGACATGCGCAGACCTGGGGAGCGGGCAGGGCCCAGCTGCTTGTGACCGTGGAGCACAACCTCTCTTCTATGTTCAAATCCACCTCATTGAAAATCTCTTCGTGAAATATGCATACAATTTAAATGTTCTTTTAATAATTTGTTTTTCTTTATCTGTCTTTTTCTTTCCTTACAGTGAATCTGGTGGAAAATTTGATTTTTGTCATTATGGTGAATGCTGACTCTGCCAGAGTTACACATTCCTACGCCTTTTATTGCAATCCTCTTTTGCAGTGGATTCTACAAGCAATTAGAGTATTCTCAACCGGAGTTTTAAATTCCAAGATGACTGGACAAAGCCTGCTCTAGTATACAAGATGGAATATAGGATGTTGAAGAATTTTTCCAATTCTAAGAAACTGTGATTGAAAAATTTTTATCCTGTTTGTTGAATTATGAATGACAGTTGCAAAATTATCTTAATTGTATTTGACAATATAAAGCCTAATGTAATTCACAATCATAAATCTTTCAAGCAATGAAAGTTAAATAATACTATCTTTGTTAAAATACCATTTCTTTCGTTGGTTGGTTAGTGCATTAACGCAAACAAATGCTTTTGGTAACTATGATTAAAGAAGCATTTTCAAAGGTGGACACATAGTGCATTACCTCGATGTTTATTAACAGTACAGACACTTGGGCTCTTGCTTATCCTAAAGAATCAAAACCTCTAGGAGTGAGATCTGGGAGCTTGAATTTTAACAAGCACTGCGGGTTGATCTACGATCCCAAATATTAGGGAATATGGACTTCAATTATAACACATATGACATGTTTACAATTGAATGAATTACAGAGCTCATTCAAAGATATTCTAAGGCATCTGAGGTTTGGGAGAAAAAGTTATATTATTTTCTTCATTTCTCACAAATCAGTCGAAATATAGTTTGGTAACCCTGGGATGCCAGCCAACTCTGCCTTCATCAATCCAGGATTTTCATTAGTGGTCCAAGTCCTGTGCTTCTCCATTTCTCTCCATCTCTCGGCCAACGAGAAGCCAGCTCTGTTTGGGTGGCCAAATGCTCAGTTACAGCTTGCTTTTAGTGGCAGAAATCTAGGTTGATTACCGGAAGAGAAGTATCAGTGTGCTACATATACATAAACTACCCTAACAAATTTGTCTTAAAATGTCACTTGAACATGTATGTATGAATTTATTTTGACTTACTATTCCATTCTGTTGTTCCACATGTCTATACTCATGCCAGTACCACATCATTTTTTTGCTTTATCACTCTAGATCTGTAGTCTGTGTTAAAATCTGAACATATGAATCCCCCAACTTTGCTCTTCTCTTTCAATACTGTGTTGGCTATCCTGGGTCTTTTGCCTCTCCATATAAACTTTAGAATATCAATATTCACAAAGTAACTTGCTGGAATTCAGATTGGAATTGCACTGGATCTATATGTCAAGGTGGAAAGAATTGACTCTTGACAATATTGAGTCTTCCTGTTCATGAACATGGAATATCTCTCCATTTATTTAGTTTTTTGATTTCATTCATCAAGTTCTGTAGTTTTCCTCACAAGTTATGTACATATTTTGTTTGACTTTTAGTTAAGTGTTTCATTTTTGTGGGTGCTAATGTAAATGGCATTGTGTTTTTAATTTCAAAATTCACTTGTTCATTGATACTATATAGGAAAGCAATTGACTTTTGTAAATTAACTCTGTATTCTACAACTTTTCTATGTTAACTTCTCAGTTACAGGAGTTATTTTTGTGCATTCTTTTGGATTTTCTTTATAGACAATCATGTCATATGCAGACAAAGAGTTTTATTCTCTCCTTCTCAATTTGTATATTGTTCATTTCCTTTTCTTCTTTTATTGTACCAGCTAGAATTTGCAGTGTGATGTCAAAAAGGATTGGTGAGAGGGACATCCTTGCCTGACTACCTTGTACCCGATGAGTGGGAAATGTCTGATTTTCTCACCATTAAGTATAATGATAATTTTAGGGGTTTTATAGGCATTCTTTATCAAGTTGAGGAAGGTCCTCTCTATTCCTAGTTTACTGAGAATCTTTATTGTGAATGAGTGTTGAATTTTGTCAAATGGTTTTTACTGCAAATATCGATATGATTGTGTGATGGATTAGTTGAATTTTGAACCAGTCTTGCATACCTGGGATAAATATCACTCGCTTGTGGAGTATTATTCTTTTTAAACATTGTTGGATGGGTTTGCTACGTTTATGTTGCAGGTTTTTGCATCTATTTTCATGAGAGATATTAGTCTGTAATTTTCTTTTCATGTGATACCTTTTACTGCTTCTACTGTTAAGGTAATGCTGATCTCATAAAATGAGTTAGAAAATATTCTCTCTACTCCTATCCTCTAAAAAAGATTGTAGAAAATTGGTATAACTTCTTTTTTGTTTGGTAGAACTCACCAGTGAAAACATTTGGACCTGCTGTCACCTGTTTTGGAAGGTTATGATTATTCATCCAATTACTTTGATATAGGCTTGTTCAGAACATCTATTTCATTTTGTGTGCATTTTGGCATGCTGGCCCTTACAATAATTGGTCCATTACCTCTAGGTTACCAAATCTGTGGGCATTGAGTTGCTTATAGAATTTTTTTTATTATCCTTTTAATGCCCATGGGATCCATAGTGAGGTCTCCTCTTTCATTTCTCATATTAGTAATGTGCCGTCTCACTGTTTTCTTAGTCTGGCTAGAGGCTTATCAATTTTATCATCCTTTTCAAAGAACCACCTTTTGATTTCATTGATTGTTTCCTTTGATTTCTGGTTTTCAATTTCATTGATTTCTGCTAATTCTTATTATTTCTCTGCTTCTGCTCACTTGGAGGGAAGTTGCTCTTATTCTTTTCCTAATTTCTCACAGTGGAAACGTGGATGACTGAATTACATCCTTCTTCTTTTCCAATATGTGCATTCAATGCTAAAATATTCCTTCTAAGCACTATTTTTGCTGCATCCACAAATTTTGATGTTTTACGTTCACTTTTATTTAGTTCACAATATTTTAAAATTTCTCTTGATACCTCTTCTTAGAGCTATGTATTGTTTGGAAGTGTCTCATTTAATCTTCCTGTATGTTAGTATTTTCGAATTATCTCTCTATTATTGATTTCTAGCTTAATTCTAATGTGGCCTGTGAAAACACCTTGGATGATTTTTATTCTTTTAAATTTGTGAGGGTGTACTTTATGGTCCAGTCTGTGTTGCATCTTGGTGAATGCTCCACGTGAGCTTAGGAAGAATATGTCTTCTGTTGTTGGTGATTGATTGTGATTGTGCCTCAGTAGTTTGAAACTCCTCTGTTAGGCATATACACATTAAGGACTGTTAGGTGTTCTTGGAGAATTGACTGCTTTGTCATCATGTAAAGTCCTTCTTCATCCCTGATAACTTACCTTGCTTTGAAGTACGTTCTTTCTGAAATTAATATAGCTACTTCTCCTTTTTTTTGATTACTTATAGCATGGCATATTTTTCTCCTTCCATTTACTTTTAACCTATATGTAGCTTTAGTTTAGAGTGAGTTTCTTGTAAACAACATATAGTTCAGTCATGTTTTTAATGCACTCTGATAACCTCTGTTTTTTAATTGATGCATTTAGACCATTGATTATTCCAAGTTGATTTAAGTAGACCATTGATTATCCAAAGATTATTCATAGTGATTCAAAGTGATTATTGATATAATTGGATTAATAGCTTCCATATTTCTTACAGTTCTATTTATTGCCCTTGTTCTTTGTTTCTATTTTTGTCTTTCACTATTTTTCTGCCTTTGTGGTTTTATTGAGCACTTTATATGATTTCATTTTGTCTCTTTTCTTAGCATAGCAGTTATACTTCTTTTTTAACTTTATATCGGTTGCCTTACAGTTTGCAACATTTATTTATGATGACTCCATTCAATTTTCAAACAACACTATGCTAATTCACGGATAGTGTGATTACTTTATAATAACACAATAATCCTAATTGCTTGCTCTAGCCCCTTGTATCACTGCTGTCATTCTTTTTACTTATATATAAGCATACATAAGCATATATTTCTGTGCTATGTATACTTCATATATATGTGATATATACACATACCACATAACATACCTAGTCCAATACATTGTTGCTATTATTATTTTGAGCAAACTATTATATATTAGATCAATTAAAATAATAACAGAATTTTTATTTTATCTTTACTTATTATTTCTTCAATATTCTTCCTTACTTTATGTTGATCTGAACTTCTAATCTGCATTATTTTCTTTATCTCTAAAGAACTTCTTTTAACTTTTCTTGCAAGGCCAGACTAATGTCAAGAAATTTCCTGAACTTTTGTCTGGAAAGTCTTTATTTCCCCTTTACTTTTGAAGGATAATTTGCAGGATACAGAATTCTAGGTTGGTGGGTTTTTTCTTATATCACTTTCATTCCTCTCTTTTGATTGCACGGTTTGAGGAGAGGTCAGATGTAATTCTTATGTTTGTTCCTCTATAAGTAATGTAAGGGTTTTTTTTTTTTTCTGGCTTTAGAACATTCTCTTTGATCTATAGTTTGAAAATAACATGCCCATAGTATTTATCTGATTGGTGTTCTCTGAGCTTTCTGAATCTGTGGTTTAGTGTCCCGCATTAATTTGGAAAAATTCTTATTCATTATTGTTTCAAATATTTCTTCTGTGTCTTTCTTTTCCCTCTGATATTCTAATTATATGTATGGTACAACTTTTGTATTTATTTCATAGTCCTTAGATATTCTCTTTTTAATTTTTACTCTTTTTCTCCTTACTTTTCAGTTTTTGAGGCTTTTACTGATATATTCTCTAGCTCAGAGATTCCTTCCTTAGCCATGTACAATCTACTAATATATTGATCGAAGACATTCCTCATTTATGTTACAATATTTCTATCTGTAGCATTTCTTTTTAGTTCTTTCTCTGGAACTAGCCTTTAGTAATGTCGTGGTAAGATCTGGAGGAAGTAGTAGCATTCTATAGTCCTATAATTAAGTCTCAGTCTTTTAGTGAGCATATGCTTTTGGACCATGAACTTCACAAGTGTTTCTCAGTATTTCCTCTTCCCTTACATGGTACTGGATGGCTAGAGTGGATGAGAGTTGGGTATTTCCCTACTCTCAGGTCAGGTATACTCTGATAATATCCTAGGTTAGGCTCTGGTTAACTAGTTTCTCCTGAGGGCAGCCTTGTTAAAAAAAAACAGCGTGCTCTGTTCTATTTCTAAGTGGTTCCTTTTCTCATCTTCCTGCCAGAAGCATAAGGAGATTCTTCTCTAGTATTTACTATGGGAACTTGGTGGAGCTCCTGGAGGTACATCTCACAATATTGTGGGGGTTTCCCTATGACTGGGTCCCCTGAAGTTTTGAATTCTTAGACTTGTCCACACTGAGCCTCGCTCAGTTCCTCAATTACAGTTCAGATTTTCCTCCTCAGAATGCTTTGTGTGCTGGTTCTGCTTGTGAGTCTCTGCTCTAGAAGCATGAGTCCCTGTGGTCGCCTGGCTGCCTCTCCAGTCTTGGGGGCAGCATTTCACCCTGTGTCCTCCCCTCTTTTATGGATCTAAAAAGAGTTATTGATTTTCAGTCTT